GGGAGTGGCCACTGCACTCCTGTCAGAGTGAGACTCCAACTCAAAAAAAAAAAAAAAGGAACTGTCGTCCGGGTGCGGTGGCTCTTGTCCATAATTCCAGCACTTTGGGAGGCCAAGGTGAGAGGTTTTCCCAAGTCCACGAGTTGTAGACCAGCCAGGGCAACTTGGCAAGACCTCATTTCTACAATAAATCAAAAAATTAGCAGTGCCTGTAGTTTCAGCTACTTGGAAGGCTGAGGCCGAAGGATCGCCTGAGCCCAGCAGGTCGAGGCCGCGGTGACTGAGTGTGCCACTACACTGCAGCCTGAGCTACGTAGTGAGACTCTGACTCAAAAAAAAAAAGAAAAGAAAAAGAAACTGTCAATAAACAGGTATGTGATGAATTAACGCCCGGACAACTTTCAGTTAAATTCACTAAAACTATGATCTACTGACTGGAATAAGCAACAGATACAAAGAAGCAAACAGTTTAAGATAATTTTGTGAGTGAATTCAGACGACTTGGAGGTAGTTTAGAAAACGTCTGTTTTGAAGCTGGGATTGGTGGCTCAACCTGTAATCCCATACCTTGGGAGGCTGAGGTGAGTGGATTGACTGAGCCCGCAGGTTCGAGACCCGCCTGGGCAAGTTGGTGAGACCTCCACAATAAATCAAAAAAATCAGCCGGGTGTGGTAGTGCATGCCTGTAATTCCGGCTACTCGGAAGGCTGAGGTGGAAGGATCCCTGGAGCCCAGCAGGTCGAGGCTGCGGTGGCCAGGAGCAGCCACTGCACTCCAGTCTGGGTGACAGTGAGGCTCCAACTCAAAAAAAAAAAAAAGAAAACGTCTGTTTTGAAATGCATGGATATTTCCTTCTTGTTAGCCTAGCAATTAGTCGGAATTCGTCCCTCCCACCAGCAGCTCCTCCTGAGTCATCTCTGTGGATCAGTAGACTAAGCAAGAATGCAGGTTTCATGACTGGTGTGATGACTTCACTGGGAGTTACTAGCAGTTGCCAGAACTAAGTCATAAAGCTTCCTGGTTTAATGTTTTTCCAAAGCAGGTCATTTGGTAACCCCAAATAGCAAAATCAGAAGGAAGACATATACTATTCTTGTACAATAAGCAAGATTAAAACAGACCTTTTAGTGTAACACATCATTTCTGGTAATGACTTGTAAAATATAGTTTGTAAACAAATTGAAGAATAGAATAATGACATTCCTAAGATCAAGGATTTGATCATCTAGCACGATACTTGGCGCAATGCTCAATAAATGTTTGTTCAATGAATAAGGTGCAATTTTTCCTTTTGTTCAACTGGAGAATAAAAAAACTTTGTGGCAGCCTTAAAATACAAAGCAAAAAAGACAATACAATATTGTATTTAATCTCCATAGACAAATGGTTTTTGCCTTGGCAGTTCCTTAGAAAGAAACAAGGGGAATTGATCCATGAGATTCCAAGTGATTTTACTTGGCTAGATGTCTTTTTTTTTTTTTTTTTTTTTTTTTT